ATCCTTTTATCCATATATTTTAAATTTAATTTTCGACACCTTTTTATTTCTATTTTAAATTAATATTTCATTCTACATATAACCCCAAATTAATGTCATAAGGTTAATATTCGGGTTTAATTTTATAAAACGTTTTCACTTTAAGACATATATATATATATATATATATATATATATATATATATATATATATATATATATATATATATATATGATACTTAAAATGATATTTATGAAATAAATATAAAATGATATTTATAAATAAATATAAAATTTCCATCATAACGACAATAAAATCCAGAATAATCATTAGATTCTATTTAAGAGCACTCAGAATTTGCAGCCCTCAGTATTTACACGAAGAGGAGAAATACATTGAAAATACTCCAATAGCCTCTTTCATATTCAGGGCGAAACAAAAGCTCATAAAATATTTCAAAATAGAAAGAAAGTTCTTCCTGGCAAATCCAACAAATCGAAATATATTTTTCTAGCCCCCAAATCTATCACAACGACTACTGAAAAGAATTTATCTAAGCTCAACATAAAACTTGTCACAACTACGTCTAAAATAATAAAAACTTAATTAATACAAAACAAAATAATAAGCTAAAACTTGAAAAGGGGATTTAGTCTATCACCTGTAACAAGTGCCACAATGAATACATGAGAGAAACCTCGAGGAATTTAAATAAAAGATTATATGAACACAAAAGGGATCTTTTATAAAAAAAACACATTAAATGCATTAGTTGCTCACTGTAACGAGACTGAACACAATTTTGATTTTAAAATTCTACTCTTATTAAAATAGAAAACAATTTACGAAGACAATAATGTTTAAAAAGTGCATTAATCGCTCGATCATCCACCGTAAATTTGCGTCCACGTTCTTACAACGTTTCACCAGTCTTTGCAGATCTTCTATTATCACAATGTGGAATATTTAATTAAAAAAAAGCGATGGAGACATAAACAAAAAGAATCTAAATAAAATCGGCGACATTATATATACAAAACACTTATTAAAAAAAATATTTCAAATTTTCAATTTCCAGCATTTTTCGTTCGTGCGCAGTTGTAGTTGCATCAAATTAAACAAACTTCGTCACGAAAACTTTTTCCAATTTGTCAAACTTCTTCGCCCTGTTTACGTAGAGGTGCTGGTAACTATATCAATCTGTGTTAATTGGTATGGTGTTTTTTTTTTTTTTTTTTTTGTTTTGTTTTTTTGTTTCTTTTTAGTTTTTTAGGTATTATGCGTTTGGTGTGAACTGTGATAATAGATATTTATTTCCATGTCTGCATTTTGAATTTATTTCTGATCTTCGGTTTAGTAATTCCTTTTGTTGAGTGTGGGAAATTATTGATACTTTTTCGTATAGACAATGAGTGGTCGTGGATGTATTTTCTTTGCTTGAATATTCCTTCTGTAGCGAAAATGTAGTACATTGTAATGTTGTTTGCGTGTATCATGGCTTTACATATCATTTATGTTTACAGGCAGTTTCCTTGCAGTGGGCATGTGGTTTCATTTATGCAGTTGCATTGGAGGTCTCTGATTGTGTTATTCTAAGATGTTATTTTTTTATTGTGGGTTTTTTTTTATTTGCGTTATGTTTTTAGTACAGCTGTAACTAACTTTTACGTTGGTTTTGTTGAATATTTTGCTAAGAGGTTTGTTGCTGGGAGGTGCTTTTCTATTAAGCTTAGGAATGTCCTGCCGATGTTTGTTTTGACAATTTTGTTGTATAGTGGGTTAAAACAAATTATATTTCTTTTTCTGTATTTGTATTTTGGTTGTGGAGGTGTGTATTGTAATTGTTGCGTGTATCCACTTTTTCTTACTGCGTTGTTATATGGCGTTTTCTTCTTGTTGGAAATGTCTATGATGAGTTTTCTGATAATCTTCGGCTGATGGATATGGATATTTACTTGATGATTGAAAGTGGATGGTTGGAGGATTGTGTATGTAAGTGGGGGGTGTCATTATCTTTTTTATATGCTTCATAGGTTTCTTTCTTCAGGTTGATGGTGACGTCTAAGAAGTTTACTATTCTTGTACCTTCATTTATTATTTTAAATCCATTTCTTTTTAGACGGTTTATTATTTTTTTTCCTGAATCTATCTATTTTGGGGCCATTGGGTTCTCGTGTTAGAATTAGGCCATCATCTCTATATAGGCCCGTGTCTTTTTTCTCTGGTATTCTGTTTATGTGTAAGAAGATGAGGATACCTACCTGTTCATAGCTACTCATTGTTACATCAAACAGGTCGTTATTTTGTTTGTTTTTTTTTTCGTTTTTTGTTTTTTTCGCTCATGTTACATTGTTGTGGATATATAGGGATTTAGGGTAGTTTTTGATTATTTTAATATCGGCATCTTCAATTTTACATGCTGTTGTGCCAGTTACATAGCGTCGTTCAATATATTTTCTGTGATGGAGGGGTAAAAATTCACTATGTCGAATTGGATGAAGGTAACTTTGTTTTTGCTTTGCATTGCTGTTGACCAGTCGGTGACAGCTTTAGTATTTTTCCATTGGTTAAGTTCTAGTTTTTTCTTAATGTAGTTGTTGTTTTTACTGATTTTTCCTATTTCGCTTTTCGCAGGGTTGATTAGGTGCAATGTGGGTTTTGTATCGAAGTTAGGCTTGTGGGCCTTTGCTGTCATGAATGTTTGCTGTTCCGCTATGCAATTTATCCTTTCGTCTATTTTCATTTTGACGGCTATATTTTTCGTTTCCTGGTTTATATTGTTTTTTGCATATACAGTTGTCTTTTTAGATAATTGTGTGATGTTTGTTAATTATAAGGTTTTTGTGAGCTAAAGGTTCTATTTTGTATATGTTTGTAGTGTTGTCAGCAAATATGAATACTTTTGTGGGGTTCAGTGTTTTTTTTTCGTGTTGTTTATAATTTATCCTGGAAATTATCCAAGTTCTTTTGAATTTTATGTTTCTGACCATGTTTGTCATGTCATCTTCGAATTTCAGCATTTCTTTACAATTAGGTGGGGATTTCCTTGTATTCAGGTTAAATGTTTCCGGTTTTTCAGTCTTCTCGTTTGTTGCACTATTGAGGAAGTAGTGTGTCTTCCATCTCATCCTTCTTATAATAAGACTTTCGGTTTTTTTCAGTTAGAATTTTATATGACAGTTGAGTGGACAGAGTAATGTTTTTCAGTGAGTATCTTATATATATATATATATATATATATATATATATATATATATATATATATAACGCGGCAAAGCACAGCTCAGTTACCCAAATGCACCTCTCTCTTTCGTGCAATGGTAAAACCAGATAAAATCCAATTTTCAGTTAAAAGTTTCACGCTGAGAAACCATCTTCAGACAATTGAATTAAGAAGCCATGTTCATTGTCCATCGATAAACACCTACACGCATGTGTCATTCATCATTGAAGATGTAGATAGCACAACGGAATTGCATTGCTATGCTTATTTTGAGATACCACTGCCAATATTTTATCCAATAATCTGTTCTATTAAGGAGTGTCATTATATTTCTCTTTCAAGAACATCACAGATAACATCGTTTTGACCTCTTACAGTAGACAAAATTAATTTTCTTAATTTTCCTCTTTGCTTCTGTTGTTCGCCCACGTTATGTACCCATATATAACTTGTTAGTGTGATCTACTGATTTCATATACCCTGATAACAGGTATCATAATTTTAAATTTTTTCTTACATGGTCTCTCAGTCGTATAAACTGGTAAGTTAACGTTAAGTTATGTGAAAATGCTGAATAGATTTAACCTTAATCCCATATAACACGTACCAAGGAGAAAAAGTGAAATGGATAACTAATATATATATATATATATATATATATAAGAAACAAAATTAAATATTCACTTGATTTAGTCACTTTCCCACCGCCATAATGTAGCTACTCTGTGCCTTTTCTATAAGTAATTTTATGGTAATTGTTCGGATTAATTTTCCACTATGGTATCTAGATTTTATGAATTTAAGCACAGTACAAGATTGGTAGGAAGATTACATCAACTTACAATTGAATTGGCTAGATGCAACCGTAAGTATCTCATATTGAGATAACAGAAAATCTACAAAGAATGGTCATATATTTAAGAGCCTGGAAGGCAAATTTATGTGGGAGAGTCAGGGACAAAGGTGATAGAGAGAAAAAGAAAAAGGCAAAGAATACAGATGAATTTGGCTCGATTCATCTTTCAAAAATATTCATTCCAAAATGTTGAAACTATCAGCGTCTTTCGTTTCGTGCGCATGTATAGACGTAGCAATATCAACAAAGCCCAATCTCATGAAATACTAACTGATGAAACGCGTCACAAAAACTTTTTTACAGACATACTATTTTTCTAAATACTGTTTGTGGATATATAAAAATATAGAAAATTATATATATATATATATATATATATATATATATATATATATATATATATATATAGTAAAGGTAATAAATCTGTTGACATATAATCCAAGTGGATCCTAGTAATATAAAATATGCAATGTGATCCAAAAAAGAGCTCATTGTATTTATTATAACAGAGCCAATAAATAGTATTACATAACAAAATCCAAAAAAAATATATATATATATATATATATATATATATATATATATATATATATCAAATTGCAGGAGAACGAACAGTAAGATTACAGCGCTCAGAACATTAATTTAAAAATAGTGCTCAATACATAAAGTAGAGCCGTAAATATTTATTTATCCACTACAAAATTGTACATTTTTGTTTCAATATCAAAAAACCTTTTTTTAGACGTCTCATCAGGTGGGGAACTATGGTGTTACCATTACACCATAATTCCCCACCTGATGAGACATTTCCCCTTTTCTGACGTTGAAACGAAAATGCATTATATATATATATATATATATATATATATATATATATATATATATATGCGTTTTACACAGCCTTGTAAGCCTACACCCAATTGATAACGATGATGTAAGAA